TGTTGTTGTTGTTGTTGGAGGTGGTGGTGTCGCTGGTGCTAGTGCCAGTGCTGGTGGTGCTGTTGAAGATGCAGTTGAAGTTGAAGTTGCAGTCGTCGTCTTCGTCCTTGCCAAGCCTTAAACCCGAAACTCTAAACCCTTAAACCCGGAGCTCTAAACTCCCAAGCCCTCAGCTTCGAAAGCCAACCGTCAAATCCGGAGGTGTCACGTATGTACCTTGCCAGCTCCGAGTTGATGCCGGGTCTTCCATCTGGCTACGTGGTGGCAGCCCCAAGGGTTCTTACGGTTTGGGGTTTTGGGGTTTAGGGTTTAGATTTTTTTGAGGGCCTAGGGTTTAAGGAAGTTTAGGGGTTAGGCAGCTCAGGAATCGCGCGGAAGTCTTAGCGGGAGGCGACCTCGTCGCCTAGTCCTCCTCATCGCTACCATGACCTTTTGGCATCAGCGTGAGAGTTCCTCGGACACTGCACGAAGCACCATGCCTCGCCAGCTTGAACGTGAAGTTCCTGTTATCGCAGCATCATCATCGTCATGCCGCTAGTACTGCTGATGATCTAAATCCTGCATGACCTGAAGACCCTAAACTATGGGAATTATGGTATATTCCTTATCATGGGTAATGCAGGATTTATGCCATCAACCGTAGTTTCAAGTTACTCGAGTTCGGGGCTGGGGCTAGAGGCTAAAGTTTGGGTTTGGCGGGGCGCGTTTCAGAGGGCTTGCTTCAATGGTTCCGAAGGGGGATCTTCCGAAGATCAGGATCCCTCTTTCGGGGCTCTTATAACAAGGATCTGAACATGAGGGTTCTATAAAAAGAGGGTTTCGTGTTTGCTGGAACTCTTAAATACAATCAGGTAACGCGTTTAGGGTTCGGAGCGAGACTACGGCGTGGGGAGGGGGCTCGGGATCAGAGTTCTTGCGCAGGCTCAGCTAGGAGGGATACTGTTCCCTAGCCTGGGGGTCCAAGTACCCAATCATAGGGCTCAGGTACCAAGAACGCTTCGGATTACACGTAGTATTTCGGACAGACTGTCGATGATGTAAATCCTGCATTACCTTAAGGACCCTACACTATGGGAATTGTGGTATATTCCTTATTATGGGTAATGCTGGATTTACATCATCATCCGTATCTCGGACATAATAACACCCTTCAATCTGCGAATGGAGACCCTACGAGGCACCCCCAATGCAGGAGCCTAAGATTTCCTTAGAAAAGGTCGTTGGCAAAACAAGGGAAGGGGTGGTAATAACATCTTGTACACAAAGGTGCCCTATGGAGCAGGATCCCTTAAATAATGTAGGTGCCTCAAGAATTACCTACATTTTTTTTTTTGGGGGGGGGTCCTTACTGTAATTATTCTTAGGAGCCCAGTAGGTAAACTTTAAACTTTTTGGTATATTAAACCCCCTACTAAAAGAAAANNTAAACTTTTTTGGGCCAGGGTACTGATTAGATTACAGGGATACTGGATCCTACGCTCTGCATGGGGCCGAATCAGCAGATGCCATAGAGGGCTCTACAAAGGATCCCATACAGAAAAGAAGGAGCCTGAGCAAGTAGTAAGTTCATTCCCTTGGGTTTGCTTCTATGTAACTATCATAAACGATGGTCTTATATACCCCCCTAAACCCTAAACCCTAAACCCTAAACCCTAAACCCTAAACACGAAACCCTAAACCCGAAACCCTAAACCCTAAACCCT